CATCCGGAAAATTCTAACCTGATATGGCTACGAATCTATGAGGTATGTGTGTTGGCTTGACTAACCAGCTCTATCTATTTAAATAAAATTTGAGTTAATTTAACACCTTTAAATCAAATAATTTGTAAACTTTGTTCAAGTTTATATGAATTTTAAAGATAAATATATCTCTAGGAACATAAATGGATGGTTAGATAGTATGGCACTTGAGCAATTAAAGAAATGCATATCATATAGTAACCGTAAGCAGTTAATCGGACAGTTAAGCTTACAGATCTTGGAGAAAAGCATATTATATAGTAATCGTAATTGAAGAATTGGTTAGTAAAGCACTTATTAGGTGATACAATAAAATTATTTATTACAACGAATAATTTTGGATGCTCATATCTATGAACATGGACTAACTTTATAATTTTGGATCTTAATATCGCTGAATGAGGTGCAACTTAACAGTAACGATCAAACGAATTTAATAATACAGTCCATATTCATTAGTAGTAAACTAAAAGAAATGAATTTTTAAATTTTATCTGTTTGATTTAATATAAAGTAAATTTTATTCCCTCTGCTCTCTCAGACGCACAAAGCAAATATTTTCATTTTCATAATGGAAAACATGAATAAAAACCATCAAAAATCGTTTGATGCAGATTCCCTCGAAACTGCAATGCCACATCCATCAAGCTTTCATGTGGCAATTATGCCAATATTGAAAATATAAAGTTCCAATTTCACTAATAATTCCGATAATGAGCGTGTGTGCTATAAGTTTGGAAACCACGAAAAATGTTTGTATGGATTTCAGCATTGTTATTTAAACAGTAATTGAAAACAAAGTTGTGTGGGTTAAGCAGGAACGATGCATCAGAGCGTTATTGTTGCCAAAACCCTGAAATTGATATATCTATAAATATTTAACAAAAACTGCAGTGCAACAGAAACGATTGCAATGTTTTCTGTGGGAACTGAATTTTATACAATTTTTGAATAATTAAAACGAAATGAAATTCGATCATTAATCCATATTTACAGTAAAAATGTCATATATTCCACCTAAATATGTATTCATCTTTAATAAACAACAAATTTCAACCATGTCATTTATAGAGTCTTTAACTAAATATTTTCTATCATATATGATATATCATAAAAATGTAAGTTTTGGCAACTCTACAGTTAACAAAAAGTTTTGTAAAACATGTTACTTATACGCTACGTTGTACATAACATACACATCATATCCGAGGTTCATGAGGTTGCAACACAAACCGATAACAAATTGTGGCAACTGCCATGACAAACATCGCTTCGACTCCTTTCGATATCGTTTCAATTTATCCTTGAGCAAAATCGTACAACAAGTGTCAATATTTTATTACTGGAAATGGATTTTTATGGAAAAGTTTTAGTTGCTCCTGGCTTAGAGGGTTAATAGAGGAGTTGAGTGCGGCATTGCGTATTTGTTTGTACGAACAGGGAATTACTTGTCAGTGAATTTGTGCTTTATGCGAATACGCTAAGGAATCAATTAAAAAGTTTTAGTATAATAAAATTTTAGTTGAAAAAATTTATAATTTATGACAAAGCATAAAAGGCAAACACTCAAGTGATAAAAAAGTTTAAAAAAAAATTAATATACAAAACAGATTGATAGATATTGTCTTAAATGTCATACATAAGTATACTTTTATATCGAACAGTTTATTTTGGTGGAAATTTATTCCTCTTAACAAAATTGGTAGAAATACACACGTTAAACATCCATTTTTTTATTATTTACAGATATGAGGATAAAGCTTTTCGAATCTCAGATCATTCAATTAGATGTAAATTACGGTGGCTTTAAGGCTCAGGCATTTCACTGCGCTTTATCCACCATTTACAACTCCAAACTAATAACAACAACAATAAATAGCTTACAAAAACTTCAACAAACTGATGAAATATCTTCCTGAATGGGAATAGATAGCTTAACCGCAGTCACACATATACGCCATATAAAAAAGTGTATAACTATTCTGTACCTATGGAATGTGAAAACACTCACCAGTATTAATATAGTCAATTGGTCCAATATGAAGAGCCACTTCTGCGTTAAGGCATTTACCTGTAACCCACCGGCTGCATTTATTTTTTGCGCTACAAGTACTTGCACAGCACATATGCATAAGTAAACAAACAGACATTGTATCATCATATGTATTCGTTTGTGTATCAACGCAGCCCTACGAAATGGTCACCATTTGTGTTATGAGACACTCATGAATTACTCATACCATCCTCCATGTATGCATTGTTGGCCGGCGGATTTGTGAGCCTTTGTGCTTTTATTGGCTCGTTAGGTGGAATCGCCAAGTGGCCTTTTAAGGGACTATTATAAATTATTGTATTGTTGCTGGAGTGTGGGCACTCTTACTTGCTCGTATTTTACTTTTATGCATGTGGAAAAATGCTATAATTCACTTAATTTATGATGCACTTGGATTCCACTCATTTTTGTGTAAAAGTTTAATGTAATTTTTAAGTGCAATTCGGCTAGAATATTGTTCCTTTATAGGCTATTTTTCAATCTTTATTTAAGTGCATTTAAAAGTACAATTGTTTGTGACTCATTTGGTCTTCTGTGTATGAGCAAATAATTGAAGTTCGAATTTATTAATACTCGCCAATATTTTCCTTTAAAAGGTGCGCATTTTTCATTTTACCAGTGAAAGCGTCCTTAAGTACCCATAACTGCAGAGATGCACAGATCGTATTACATTAAATGATAGTGATATCTCGATCATTGAAAAATATGAATATATACAATAACCTAAACCTGAACCTAGTTTGATGGTCAAACGGAAAAGTATGAGGTAGAAACTAACAAATAGTTACCCATTTTGTCAGCTCTATTAAGCAGCGCTGTGTCAGTAGTATGTGTCAAGTAGAATTGTCATCTTAAGCATCATATGTTTGGTATAAAATTACTAACATATATATCAACAATTTGTTATAACTAAGGTAGTTAACATCTATAGGTAACTGTCAAAAGACAACTGCATTCCCAAGAATTTCCAAAAAGCATAGGAAATTCGGTCTGAACCTGTGATGGAACTGTTCTTTTCTGAAAGCATCGAAGTTTTCGTACAATACAATTGCGTCAAGAATTCAAATTGATCTAAAAAAAATTTCAAATTAATAAGTAACTTTAATTTAGCAAAATTGACTCTTTTCATCTAATATGTTTACACTCAGAAAAATATACTCTAACCACATACTAGTCAAATTGACCTAATCATTTTAGAAAGATTTTAGCTTATGTATTAAGGCAATTATGTATATATATTATGTATTATATGTATGAATGAACCAAAATGATGCGTCTTGTAAGAATATTTTGACCAGAGATATAGTAACAATCAGATTAAATCAATCAAATTATTTTTCTGAGTGTAAAAACTCTATGTAATAGGTATAATAATTTTGATAACAATTTTTATTATCCAATTTAAATTACCAATTAACTATCATAACATGCTTTTTGATTATTCAATCATAAGTTATAAACAATTTATCCAGAAGTCATAAGTTGTATATTGTATACACATTTCAGATACAGATATAAATCTCTATATACACAAGAGTCAAAAATATTTCAGAAATTATAATAAAATATAAAACTTTTTTATTTTTTCATACTTGACTCACTTACGAATATCTGAACATAAAGATTTCAAAGACATACAAGTCTCACCTTTATTTCATTATTCCCAATTGTAGGATTTCGACATGTTGACTTGTTTGGCGGACGAAATCGTAAAATCGTTTCGAAATTATTTGTGAAAGATCGAAGTCCAAAGTCGAATTTTATTGAAATTTAAATTGGAATTCAACCCGTCGAGTGCTTTCAAAGCAGTTGGAGAGCACAGCATATTAGTGACCTATTTAAGTATATTACCGAACCTCGTCAAATACCCTTCAAAAATAGATGAAATATATTTCATTTAACTGCTTTTCTAAATAGTCGTTTCATTTACGTAAGATTGATCTTGAAAAGTCTGCTCGGCGTGCAGTTTTATGGCCACTAAATTTACCTTATTACACTAGGGGGCAAGAGAGTGAACAGCAGAAAAACAAATTTATCCGTTTTGTAAGGGGCATAAAT